TTCAGCATTAATTACCTTGGCCTAAGGCTTGCAATGAAGAATCTACAGATACTATTTACTAGGCCTATAAATAATAACTAGCCCAAGGGGAATATCTTTTGTGTATATTTCCCCTTAACGTCGGTTTTGAAATTGTTCTCTAATTCGTCCATTGTCTAGGTTCCCCTAAACGTACAGGTAATAATAATTAATAATAACAATAATAATAATAATAATTATAATAATAATAATAATAATAATAATAATAATAATAATAATAATAATAATCATTTCTGCATTACATGTAATTAACTTGGTCTAGCCTTGCAATCAAGAACCTGTCGATTACTATGCCTAATATTAATAACTAGCTCATTTTACATTCATTTGGTGCTCTGCCATTTTGGCAGGTCTTATGGCATCCAGTATTTTAGAGCTGCCTATTCTCAGCTCTTCTCTTAATTTGAAAATAGCTGTCACCCTGTTTCATTTGATGAAGAAAAACGCGCTTTTTCTTACTCTTTGTGCTTTTCCCAATAAGCCTCTTAGTAGGCGTAGGTAATTATGCAAAACCAAGGCCTAACTAAAAAATTAAAATTGTCATAGTATGTAACTCAAGTTAAAATAACACTCTTCATTACTCGTGCAGCTTAATCAAATATTATATGTCATTTTAAACGACCAATTGGTGTTAACATAGTAACATCAATGTATTTTTAAAAATTAGACAGCGACGTTCTCTCAGAAGTTGTTTTGTAGACGTTTATCTGTTGATGACCTTTTGACCTCCTGAATTCTGCAATGAGATTTTCGGGTCGATTCAGCCGAGACGGCCCGAGTGGAGTTTCATGTAAATGTTTCGTACGGAAAAAATAATCGCAAACGGTGCATAGCGGCAGGTATACAATTGTGCTCGATAGTTGCTGGTGGACATGCAATTGTGCAAGAAATGTTTGTTTTTTCGGTTAGATGAAAAATGTAGGCTGTAGGCGATAAAACATATACCCCCTACCACCAGTTTTGAGTCATTTTTTTAGTCGAAAATTTGATTTGCGCATGCGTCGGGTCAAACTTTCCAGACATTTTGTTTCTGTCGCGAGCTGCCTAGAAAAGTTCTTTATGTTGTTTTCGCGACTGTCAGTAAACATTGAGCAAACTGAGATAGTTTAACGGCTAAGATTGACGGACCTGGTGTACATTGGCCTAGCATAGACACATACGTAATGTAGGCTTCTCTTTGGGCGACACCGTCGGACCTGGTGTAGGCCTAGACACATCTGATATACTGTACTATACCATTACGTAAAGTAGGTTTCTTGGCCTACCACCAGCCTGCCGTCAAGCAATAAAAAAAATCAACATTTGTGGAATTATTTTCCAAGAAATGATGGTTAAAAATTCTGGACACATAAATATGTGGGGCAGCATGTGATGGACGGACGAACCTAAGGGTTGGCGGGGGGATGGGAGTTCATCAAATGATGTTTGGGAAAATAATGGTCAGAAAATACAGCATCTGATGGACAGTCCCGGGTAGGGGAGAACCTTAAAATTATGGACACATAAATTTACAGCATACAGTAGCTTCATCAAATGATGTTTGGGAAAATAATGGTTAGAAAATACAGCATCTGATGGACAGTCCCGGGTGGGGGAGAACCTTAAAATTATGGACACATAAATTTACAGCATGTGATGGACTGCGTGTCCGGACAATTACCCCCTGGAAAATCACACCCGCCCCGGGAATCACCCTACCCACCAAGGACAATTACAATTAATTTTCCGGGGGTAATTGTCCTAGTACCGATGGACTGACCGTCTATACACATATACAGCATGTGATGGAGGTATGTATCTGATGGACAGTCCCGGGTGGGGGAGAACCTTAAAATTATGGACACAAATTTACAGCATGTGATGGACTGACATCTATACACATATACAACATGTTATGGAGGCATGTGATAGACGGACGAACGTATGCCTTTCTTCAATTAATTTCCAGGAAAATAATTATTACAACTTCAAGAAAACTCGTGTTTTTATTGCATAAATTAATTTCACAAGCTTTTATTCTGAAATATAGCGGTATCAATATTCTTTCTATAACGGTACAAGCCACCGGGAACCAGACGTCGAACAGAAGGTTTCAACAGCCCTCTTGTGTTTTGTTGCGACATCATAAATGAAGCTGCTCACGTGACCACTCCCGAAAAGAAGTTTATTTATTGTTTTGAGCGAAGCGGTTTCGAATTAAACTTGTTTTCAAAATTGTTTTAGTGAACTTAACTATGAAAATAATTATTTAAACAACCCAAACCATTGCTTGATTGTCGTAGAAAATGTAGTAGGACAGTACAGCACTGTATCACTACAAATACTAGCCCTTCAAAGCCTAGGCTAATTAATTGGGCTAGTTAATAGGAGCATGGGCCCAAGCTAGACAGACGGCGCCAGATTTTCGCTGCGGTTCGCGATCTGAACTTTTTAGGAGTAGGTTAACGACCGGTGTATAGGCCGCACCCCAAATTTCGAAGGGAAAATTGCGTATAAAATTTGCGGCTTATTCACCGGAAAATACGGTTTATTGAGCAAAAACTTGTGTTTCTTCATAATTTTAAGGGGGTGGGGGCGGGTGAATTTGCATGAGGCTGGGCGGTTAAGCCTTAATAATAGCTTTAGGATGAGCGCAAGACGTCAAGAGTGGGCGGCGCCGTCCACCTCCGCCCTGCATAACGACATCCCTGCACTTCTCAGAACCCCTTTAACCCCTTACCCCCCCCCCCTTTCATAAATTTCTGGATCCGCCTCTGATTTTTTGACTGAAAATGAAAATATTGTACTACCTTACACAATCATTATTCAAAAAGATACAATAAGTTATTGCAATTCCAAAATGTACATTGATTTTTTACGTACAAAGGAACGTACGCACCCGCAGGGTTCTGGTTAAATTTTTTAGTCGTTTTCTGAATGTCCGAACATGTCCAATGTTAATATTTATGTTTACTGTGGTCCATAATTAGCAATAATTTTTTTCTTGCAGTTTGTTTCGTGAAACGACCTTTTTCAACCGATTTCATTATAGTAGCATGAGTGCAATACCTTTGTCACTGTTGTCTCAGATACTCTCCTTCATTTTATTGATTGGTCGTTTGGCAATACGCATAAGATTTGTTTGGTACCTTTTATAGCTATTACTGTAGTTCAAGGCTTATCTCATGTTACATCTTATGCAAGGATATTTGCAAAAGAAAAAAAAATTGAAACGATCGATCAAACGAGCCACTTGATACAATACAGCGAATCACGCTTCTACCAAGGCAATTCAACCTTGCTTCTACGAGGTGATAAAATCGTTATAAAACCGTAAACACAGTTGCTGGTATGTATGTTATATAATGCCAGCAAATGTGTTTATCTTTGTCCCATGTTGAATAAGATAATAAGAGTTTATGATCGTAGTATTTTTACCTCATAAATATCTTCCGGTTGATTGAATGTTTATGCACTACTAGACTTTAAAGAAATTACGAACAAGGTTTCACTGGTACTCCTTGGTCTTTAATATGTATTTCCAAAGATCCTTACCGTGAACTATAACAGTAAAATATAAAACACGTTAATTACACAACTGCAACTATAACTGATTTTCTCTAAAAACATTATCATGGTTTTTCCCTATGCAACTCAAAATTAACTAACCGTAACATAGTTTCATTATCATAGTAATTATAGCATAGTCACTATATCTTTTATATCGTATTATTAATACAACAGAATATATTCCTATTATTAAGAACACAATTATTGTATAGTACCTCAATTGCTCTCCAAAAATAATCAGCAGTGCAATGCCTTCAAGATTTATAATCATCTGATATCCTAAAAATAATAATGATTGGTAATCTAATAATAATCATTGGTAATTATCTACAATCAGATATGTTTGAGGTCTAAATATAAGTATTTGTATCCCAAAACAAATGAATAATATCCATAAAAACATCAATACACAAGTACAGCCCTTCGATTCCTGGCTGTTTCCAAATATGGAATGAGTTATGCAAGTCATGAATATTCATGAGCTCAAACAACAACGAGCGTGCAGCATTCTCTAGCAAAGCAGTATCTACTCATATTTTCTGAGATAACCCTATGATTAAACTAACACATTAAACACTGTATTTATCTGTATACAGTAACATTATACTGCTCATATATGTTTATAATCTTTACTGGACGTTTGACATATAGGTCTTCATATCAGTTTGCCTAAAAACCTTTCAATGAATCTCTGTTATAAACTTTCTCTAGGCCAGGCTATAACATGGCCACCTACGGCACGAAAAGTGCTTCATAATACGGTCATAAATAACAAATGAACAAAAGTTTGTTAAGGAAAACCATTGCAATAGTAATTAACTATAACTCACTCAAAATCATTAAATCAACTTGGTAATTCCCATCTGGCGTCAAATCCACAATATCGTTAATTTAACTGACAAAATGATCAGTAACTCGTCGTTAGGGAAACCATCAAAAAACCACTACGCCGAGAGAGGGCGCAATTCAAAAAATTATACCCAGGTATAAACCGCACACTCCCCCACCATGATGGACGACATCATCAAAATTCAATTTGCAGTAAGTTTAAAAGGTTTACAACACCAAATTAATTAATGTACAATACAATATGCAGTACAGTGTAATTTTAACTATGAGAACAATCAAAACAGTTCATATGAGGTGATTAGATCTTCTTAGCGGGTACCAATAATATAAGTTCAGAAATTGGACGCAATACCGTCTTAGCATCTGCCATCTCTACGGACACTTTACGAACTCTCCCATCAGCACTTTGTTTAACCTGTAAAATTCTACCCAAAGGCCAACTGCAACGAGGCGAGGCAGAATCTCTAACAAGAACAACATCGTCTTTTTGCAAATCCTTCATGCATTGGTGTCTGCCACTTTCTCCTTGCCTGCAACAGCGGTAGGTAATGCTTTCTCCATTTTCACCAAAACATGTTTGATAAGTGCTGAACACGTCTCCACTGATTTCTCAACAAATCATTCTGGTTGAATGGTCCTTCTGGGTCTGTTATCTGTGATGCTTTCATTGTAAGCAACATGTTAGGTGATAAGTTTATTGGCAGCTCTGGGTCATCACTGTCTGGTAACAAAGGATGGGAGTTTATAATTGCGGACACTTCCGCCATTAGTGTGACTAAAACCTCGTGGGTAAGCTGGCTTGGTTTCACTTCTCTTAGAACAGAATCTAAAATGCGCCTGGCCATCCCAATTAACCTCTCCAAAGCTCCCCCCATATGTGAGGCATGGGGAGGATTAAAAATCCACTCACATCCACGTCCAAACAGGTATCGTTTCACACAATCTTTGTCAACAAGTTGGTGTCCAAGCTCGTTGCATGCTTCTTCAAAATTTGTGCCACAGTCCGAACGAATCTGCTTGGCTGGGCCTCTGATCGCAAAAAAACCTTCTAAGGGCATTAATAAAACATGAGCTGTCCATAGACTCCAATATTTACACGTGAATACCTCTCGTAACCATGCAAGTAAACAGGACAGCCCACCTCTTAGCTTGAACTGCACTTCCAGTTTTGAAACTACGTATCAACCAAGGTCCAAACACATCAGCTCCCACAAAGGTGAATGCTGGTGCTTCAGTCAACCTTTCTTCGGGTAAGTCTGCCATAATCTGTTCTTGTACTTTTCCTCGAAGCCTTTTGCACACCACACAGTCTTTAATGACTTTCGATACTTGCCGTTGGCCACCCAGTATCCAATAACCTTCATTCCTTAAGGTTCCTAGAGAGATGTGTCTTCCTTGGTGGTTGCATTTTTGGTGGTAGTGTCTAATGAAAGAGTCGATACATGACAATTTTTCGGTAATATGGCTGTATGTGCAGCTCTTTCTGGCAGTTGCGAATAGCTCAGCCTACCACCAACTCTAAGAATTCCTCTGTTATCAATGTAGGGGTTCCATTTTTTTAGCTTGTTGCTCTTTCTTACCCTGGACACTCTTAATAATCATATTCTCTGCTTCAAATCTCTCATCTACTGATTTTGGTGTCTGGCATACATGCCAACCTGTACACCCACATTCAAGTTCGTTGTTGCGTGTAAATGAACGAGCAATATGTTTAAGATTTGTAACAGCTCGAACTGCTGATTCCCAGCTGGAAAATCGGCTGAATTTTTTAACTCCAATGCATGTCTGGTTCAAGACAACCTTGTGATGGTACTTGGACGCACCTCTGCATCATTAGGTAGGAGCTCTACATTTCTTTCTATATGGTTCTGGTCAGTTGACAGATATCTTTGTTTCAGGAATTCTGGCCCAGACACCCACAATGAATCATTTCAGTAGCTGCAATGAATCATTTAACTCAGTAGCTGGGATAGACCTAGTTGCTTGGTCAGCTGGGTTTTTCTCAGTTGGAACATACATCCACTGGTCAGGTTTTGATGTTCTATGTATCTTGCTGACCCGGTTGCAGACATAGGTGTGGAAACGATGTTTCCGGTTAGTGATGTAACCTAATACTACTTTACTGTCACAGTAGAAACAGGACTCATCGATTTCTAGTTGTAGCTCCTGTCTCACATAGTTTTCAACTTCTGTAGCAAGAACTGCTGCGCATAGTTCTAGTCTGGGAATTGTGGAAGCGGCTTTAGGGGCTAGTTTTGCTTTGCCCATTATGAGGCGAACATAAACTTCTTCATTGATGCCAACTGTTCTCAAGTAACAGCAGCACCAATTACCTTATTTGAGGCATCTCCAAATGTATGTATGTCTCTTCTAAGTACTTTTAAAGCTGGGAATGGTGTGTAGGAACGAGGTGTATGCATAAATGCTAATGCACTCAAAGAATTTCTCCGTTTCTGCCACTCACTGAGCAGCACTTCTAGTAATGGTTCATCCCAGTTCGCGCCATCTTGAGTCATTTCCCGCAGAAGCATTTTGCCCTTTGATAACCACTGGCGCTGCCAAACCTATTAGGTCATAAACACCATTTACCTCAGACAGAACCATCCTTTTTGTACTTGGTTTGTTATTTGATGCTGCCACTCTGAATGTAAACGAATCTGACTTCAAATCCCAACAGACACCTAACGTTCTTTGTATCGCTTCCTCATTTTTACTTGAAAGATCAGACACTGTCAGATTCGGAGCTAACTCTTCTTGATCAAACGATGCTAGCACCTCTGCACTAGATGACGCAAACTTATGCAACCTAATGTTGGCAGTAGCTAGCATATCACGGGTCCGTTTCAATAAGTTGACTGTATCCTCCACAGTTGGAAGAGATTTCAGCACATCATTCATGATATAAAAATTATTTTCTACCAGATCTCGGACATCGCTGCCAAACTGCTTCTCAGCTTCCTGAGCAGTTTTCCTAAGTCCGCTGATAGACACCGCCGGGGAGGGTTTGTTTCCAAAGATGTGGATGGTCATTTGATAGGTAACAATATCGGCAGCAGGATTGTTGTTTTCATACCACAGGAAGCGTAGAAATCTGCGGTGCTCATCTTTTACCTTGAGGGCATAAAACATCTGCTCGATGTCTGCTGTTACTGCTACCGGCTCTTGACGAAACCGCATCAACACTCCGAGGAGCTGGTTCATCATGTCTGGTCCACTTAACAATGCTTTATTTAAAGAGACCCCTGAATATTCAGACCCCTGAATATTCTGTACTAGCGTCGAATACTACCCTCAACTTGTTGGGCTTCTGCGCGTGGTACACCCCAAAGTGAGGTAGGTACCATTTTTCTTCATGGTCGTCTGGTCCCTCGCTCACCCGTTCAGCAAGATTCTTCTCCAAAATCTTCCCCATGAAGTTAAAATAGTGCTCCTTCTTGATAGGATTCTTTTTTAAAGTGATAGACAACGACTTCATCCGGTTTTTAGCCTGCCGTCTATTATTCGGCAATTTCTGTCTGTCGCTTTTAAAAGGCAGTGGTGCATACCAATTTCCTTGGCCGTCCTTAACCATTTCTCGGCTCATCAGCTCCATACATTCTTTGTCTTCAGCAGAAGCGCCCAACTTTTCATCAAGCCGAGTACACACAAATAGATCTTCGCCAATGCGTTCGGGCCAGCTGTTTCTTCTTCCTTGAATCTCAATGGTGTTCTGGCAAGGTTCAAAACTTGCTGACCTCCATCCACGTTTCAATCTTGTATAAAACGTGCTTACCACATCTTTTCTGACGTGGGCTCCATTCCGACAAACCTCCCCCATGATCACCCAGCCCAAATCCAATTTTTGAGCCCATGGCAGGTGATTTGGCCCGTTGATGGATTCTCTGACTTTGTGGGCTTGTGCTAAATCTCTACCCACTAGCATGAGGATTTCGGCATCTGGATCTAATGGGGGTATCTTCCCAGCGATTGGAAGAAGATGTCTAAAGGTTTTCGCCACTTCTGGTGTTGCGACTTTAGTAATATTGCCTGGGGGTGTTCTCACACTCATAAACACCCGGAACAGTCATCTTACAGTTTTCGTTTATGAATTCGATTACTAATCCAGATATCTTTCTGCCTTTCACCGTTTCCTTACCACCTCGAGTCTTAAGGGTGTAATCCACTATTTTGCTTCTAGCGCCCAACATATCAAAGAGTTCTGGTTTCGCAACCTAATTGTTGCTCTGGTCGTCTATCAAGATATAAGCCCGGATGGATTAAGATGGATTGTCCATAGAATATAGCTTTGCCAAGCAGATGTTTGAGCAAGACCGGCTAATCGAAAACTTGTCACCACAAATTGCGCTACACTGGTTTCTCACAAGCGAAGTTCCTTGTGTCTCAGGTTTTTTCCTGTGAAGACTGGTAGGATGCTTTCCGTCACATTTGCCGCATGCAGCCCTGTTCTTACACTCCCGAGCACGGTGTCCTCTTTTTAAACATCCGAAAAACAGTCAATTTCTTTTGATGAAATCTTCTTTTTCCGAATCTTGCTTAACTCCCAACTGATAGCAATTTGCCAGATTATGACCTGCTCCTTTACACCAGCTGCACAAAGGCTGCTGTACGTCGGTAGCATAGGCTCTCACTTTAAATGCCGCCACGGAGCTCTTTGGCTTCTTCATAGAATTTGGTACATCCGGGGCTCTTTCGGCTTTAACTCTCTCATTTAGAAATTCTCCAAATGATTTAAAAGGTGGAAACACTCCTTTATTTGTCTTGTGCGTGGCAACTCTGTCTCTCCACTTATTTATCAAGTACGGTGGCAGCTTCTCTACTATAGGGTTTAATGCAAGTGGTGTGTCCAACACTGAAAGATGGGACAAGTCTTCAAACTGTGAGATGGCATCTTGCACCATGTCATTCAATTCCGATAGTTGCTTAATGTCTCCACTTGTTACTGGTTAAAATTTTCTAATCTGCTGCGAATTGTAGATGATATTATGGTTGGGCTGCCAAAGCGTTCTGCTAGCTGAGCCCAGGCTTCTTTATAGGCTTTTTGGACATCGCCTATGTTGCGCAACCTAAACCTGTCTACCAGACGTCTAGGTTCACCTGAAGTGTATTTTTGCAGGAACGTCAAACTTTCCATTGGCTCCACCTGAGCTGCTTTCATCATCGCTTCAAATTTACGCTTCCATGGCAGGAATAGCATCGCGTCTCCGGTAAAAACCTCTGGACTGGTAGCCTTTGTCTAGCTAGAAGCTGCAAAATGTCGGAAAGTTCTTTCCCTGGTTTCTGACTCTCATAATCTTCCTTGACTCCTTTCTTAGGGCATTCGCCTCAAAAATCTCAGTTTGGATTTCAGTTGCCTCTTGCTGATGCAACTTCATTTCCATCGCTTTTAGCCTCAATTCTAATTCGTGATTCTCTTTTAACAACCTTTGTTCAATTAAATTCTGAGAGGTGCTGCTCCTTGCAGACTCGGCTTCTTGATGACATGATGCATGCCTATCATCCATACATATCGCAGATGCAATATCTGATAGACCATCTACCAACCATTCCATTATATAATCCACAGGACCTAAATCGTGGATAGGCGTGTTTATTTGTCCCAGATAAAAGGGTACATCTTGAAATTCTGGCGGTGGGGGAAAGATCAAATTACGTATTACCGAATCCACACACTCACAGTCTTCCATCTTCGTCTCTAGGGATGCTTGAAGATTTGAGTTCTCTATGCACTACTAGACTTTAAAAAAATTACGAAATAGGTTTCACTGGTACTCTTTGGTCTTTAATATGTCTTTCCAAAGATCCTTACCGTGAACTATAACAGTAAAATATAAAACACGTTAATTACACAACTGCAACTATAACTGATTTTCTCTAAAAACATTATCATGGTTTTTCCCATGCAACTCAAAATTAACTAACCGTAACAGAGTTTCATTATCATAGTAATTATAGCATAGTCACTATATCTTTTATATCGTATTATTAATACAACAGAATATATTCCTATTATTAAGAACACAATTATTGTATACTACCTCAATTGCTCTCCAAAAATAATCAGCAGTGCAATGTCTTCAAGATTTATAATCATCTGATATCCAAAAAAAAAAATAATGATTGGTAATCTAATAACAATCATTGGTAATTATCTACAATCAGATATGTTTGAGGTCTAAATATAAGTATTTGTATCCCAAAACAAATGAATAATATCCATAAAAACATCAATACACAAGTATAGCCCTTCGATTCCTGGCTGTTTCCAAATATGGAATGAGTTCGGCAAGTCATGAATATTCATGAGCTCAAACAACGAGCGTGCAGCCTGCTCTAGCAAAGCAGTATCTACTCATATTTTCTGAGATAACCCTATGATTAAACTAACACATTAAACACTGTATTTATCTGTATACAGTAACATTATACTGCTCATAAATGTCTATAATCTTTACTGGACGTTTGACATATAGGTCTTCATATCAGTTTGCCTAAAAGCCTTTCAATAAATTCAAAGTAATATCAACGAATCTCTGTTATAAACTTTCTCTAGGCCTAGGCTATAACATGGCCACCTACGGCACGAAAAGTGCTTCATAATACGGTCATAAATAACAAATGAACAAAAGTTTGTTAAGGAAAACCATTGCAATAGTAATTAACTATAACTCACTCAAAATCATTAAATCAAACTTGGTAATTCCCATCCGGCGTCAAATCCACAGTATCGTTAATTTAACTGACGAAAATGATCAGTAACTCGTCGTTAGGGAAACCATCAAAAAACCACTACGCCGAGAGAGGGCGCAATTCAAAAGATTATACCCAGGTATAAACCGCACAATGTTTATATATTGATTTTAACTATTTTTATACAATAACTTTTTATAAAATATACGTCTCGACCGATTCAAATCCAACTCTCCCGCGTCAGCGCGGAACTATTATATACGACTCGGTAGATATCGCTACGCAAGACGTCATCCGACGCATTTAGTCATTCTTCCACAGAGAAAGTAGTACGCAATTTACATCTACGACTTCTTGATCACCTTTTCTTCGGGTCGTCTAACAGACAAAATATCAATTCAAAGACGGTTACGTAACCAAATTGAGTTATTGTTTTAATAACGTGTCACTTCAATACCAAGCATTTAAATGCTCTGAAACATGATAAAGCCAATCTGAAAAAAATGACCATCTTTCTTTATGGTCTAATCGATGGTGTTGTAGGTTTTTATGATCCGAATATCCGAATTATTATTTTGACTATATACTTTGTTTTAATCGAATTTTAACATAATAATAATAATAATAATGTTATATTTATATAGCGCATATTGCACATTGCCCCTGTGCGCTTTAGAAAGATATAATATAGGCCAACCGAGAAAATACAAATAACAATAAAATAACAATAAAATAAAATAAAAAATAATAATCATAATGCTAACTTGTCTTTATATATTAAATTAAGTTAGCGCCCAAGGTAATGTAATTAGATTCTGTTCTCAGATACTAGACCTCAACAATGAACCAAGACAATTTGATTGTAGTTTCTTTATATGTTTAATTTCATATCATCAAACAATATATACCACCACTCGTTTTCATTAATTAACTTGGTGTGGCATATAACACAATTTACGTTATTTTTAGTTTTCTTATATTTTCCACATAATATATATTTCACTTTCAACAACATGCAATATATGGTGCGCAGATAATACGTCTACAAAATGACCATATTTAACATATTTTATATTTAGGTTTATATTTGATAATAACT